AATTAGCGACGAAATGTCCATTGCTAATATTAAAAAAAAATGAGTGGATTTTGCATATTCAATTTTTTTCATATTAGAGATGGATTAGCAAGGAACACTTATGCTCGTTATTGATTAGTGAAGGATTAAAGATCGAATCACGTCTATTATTAATTCTACATTCCTAAATCACAATTTTCCTTTCTTCTTCTCCCATTTTCTTCTTCCTCTCCCTTTTCTCCTCTAGTTGTTGCTTGCTAGTGCTATCGATCCGATCGAAAACTCGCTACAAAACTCGGCTCCTCCATTCTTCGACAACCTCCACCTACTCCAAACTCTTTTCTCCATTAAAAAAAAAAAAAAAAACCTCAAATTTTCTCCTTCCTCACCATCTCTTCCTAATTGTTTGAAGGTATATGCTCTCTCTCTCTCTCTCTCTCTCTCTCTCTCTCTTCCTCTTTTGTTTTCTAAAAATCATTGTTATTTTTCCTAATTGTTAACTTAATTCGATTAATTGATTGAATTTTAATTTTATTTATAGTTAATTGTTAATTGGCTAGGTTAATTTATTAATTAATTGGTATTTAAATTAATAAGGTTAATTTGTTAATTAGGGTTAAATTAATTAGGTTAATTTGAATTAGAGTTAAATTGGTTAGAGTAATTTATTAATTAATTGGTAATTAAATTAATTGGATTAATTTGTTAATTACGGTTAAATTAATTAGGTGAATTTGAATTAGAGTTGAATTGGTGAGGATAATTTGTTAATTAATTGGTAATTACATTAATTGGGCTAATTTGTTAATTAAGATTAAACTAATTAGGGTAATTAGGCTAATTATGTTTTAATTAGGGTTAATTTAATTAGTTTAATTTGAATTAGAGTTAAATTGGTTAGGCTAATGTGCTAATTAATTGGTATTTAAATTAATCATGTTAATTTGTTAATTAGGGTTAAATTAATTAGGTTAATTAGGTTTCAATTGGGGTTAATTTACTTAGGCTTAGTTTAAATTAGATTTAAATTAATTATTTTAATTTAAATTAGAGTTAAATTAATTCGGCTAATTTTTTAATTAATATTTATTTAAATTTAATTAGTTTTGAATTAAGATTAATTGACTTAGCTTAATTTAAATTAGTGTTAAATTAAGTAGGTTAATTTTTATTAATTGGTTATTTTAATTTTAGTTATATTGAAAATTATTAATTATTTGTTATTTTAGATTTAATTAGGTTTGAATTAGATTAAATTGAGTATATTTGATTTAGGTTTAAATTTATTTAGGTTTGAATTAATTAATTTACTTTTGAGTAATTTGTTTATTTCTAATTCTATTTATATTATAATTTGTTAATTATTTTTTATTTAATATTTAATTAGGTTTAAATTAGGGTTAATTTAATTATTTTATTGATAATTATTGAAGTTTGTCGAGATACGTTATAGTGTATTGAACCCGAGGGGTTGGAGACCCTCGATAATTGAGCAAAAATAATTTTGGTTTAGTGCTTTGTGATTGAAATGGAGGATGAGTTTGAGATGTAATTTCAATAGAGTAACTAAGACAAGTATTGGTCTCGGTATACGTAAATTGATTATTAATTGATTTAATTTTAATGTTTATATGATCATTTAAATTATCTATTAATTGAGAAAGGTGTAATTTATAGGAGAGACTCTACTAAAAATTTTTTTTTTATGCAAACACTTTATAATATATTTTTAGTCGAATTGTTATTCATTTTTTGTATTTGTTAAACTATTTCAAGTGTTATTCTAGAGTTATGTTTCATGGATTAGGCGGATCCGGTCACGGTGCCAATGTTCATGGCTTTGATGGCAACAATGTTCCCGGTTATCACACTACTACTCGGCAATGTTCGTGATCGTGCCATTAATAGTGGCACCGTATGTTGACATGGTGCTACTACTGCAATTGTCCGAGGCCGTGGACTTGATATTGACACCAACACATCCGCATCCCAGCCTACTAATGCCTCCGTCGGTAGTGCCCCTAGCTGTGGAGGTCCTCATAATGGTTTCCTCAACTCTTGGAACCTCTATTAGATCCGATACTAGACGGACCATTTGAGTAGTGAATAGGCGATAAGTAATATGCTTTACATGTAGTAATTAGTTTTATTTTTTATATATTATATTAAAACCATTAATTTACTTATTTATTATTTACTTGTTTTGTTTGAAAACATGGTATCATCATGTAAGTGCTTCATAAAAATCACTCGTAAGTTTTAAAAAGCGATTGGACGTCGTTGGCTCTACATGAAAGTCTATCCGCATAGAGACGAAAGACTTTTACTTTAATGAGTTTACGATAACATATTAATTAATTATTTATATTTCATTTAAAGTATTAATTTAACATAAAATGTGATAATATTATTTTTTTCTTCATATAGAAGTATTTTTATTAGATGCGGCCATCGACACGTTAATTAAGGATGTGTAAGAGAGTCTAAAACAAAGGTAGTACGGTGATATGTTGAACATGTTGAAATGAAAAACTAATAGACTCATGTATGTTAAATAACATGTGTGGTAAATATGACATTGGGATTAGGCTACACTTGAGTTTCGGGCCTAATCTTAACAAACGCCTCAAAATTGCATGTCGGAGACAGATGGTGTTGATGTTGGATCATCCGGACATACATGGAGATTCATCTTTTTGATTGAACATATTAAATATTTGATAAATCCTATTATCCTTTGTGTTATAAATTAATTTTTATATTTATTATATCTCATATTATTTTGTCTATTTTTTCAACATAATAAATTAGATTGTAACCCAAATTCTTATAAGTTGTTTGTGACCACTTACAAGTAGAAAGATAGGTCATTTGTCGATAGGCGATCCCGAGCAATAATGGTAAGTTTTTTTTTTTTTAAATATACATCTATCAATATAATCTAAAAATATATTTATAATTAAATATTATAATTATTTCATTGACGTATGAGTGCGTGTAGTCAATGCAAGATGTAGGTGTGAAGGAGCGATAAGAAAGTGGTTTATCATCTCCAAACATCATCATGACCAAGATATATTTGGATGTTGTAGGAAGGAAGAAGAAGCAAAGAGTGTATGGCCTTGAATCACAAACATTTTAATTTTACTCTTATTCGACATCAACTCCTCCTCCGGCACTTTGTGGCATCCTAGTGATAACATTTAAAAGGTTTTTGCCTAGTATAAAGATAGGATTAAAAGGATAGAGATTACAATCCAAGAACGGACCAATTAGTTCAATACTCTATAAAGTTAGATTCGGATTGTGATGAGATTGTTATAGGACTTGCAACAAACTCTCATCCCTAATGTTGACTCCCTTACAACCCAAAGGTCGATCGTTTCTCTTAATACTCGGCAGTTAAAAGATGATGCAGGAGATGATGAGAACTAGATTTCTTATTTTTTAAAGCTTTTTAATGTTTTCATGTACTTTAACGCATTTATATATTTATTTGATTTTAATTTATATTATTTTAATTTTATTAAAAAATATATCGTGTTTTAATAATGTGTTATTTTTTATTGTTTGTTACTACCATTAACATAAAATGGTTATTAATTTATATAAAAAAAATTCTTCGTTCGATGACGGATTAACGACCGAATTAGTGACAAAAACTAAACCTCTTTGCAACGGATACATATATGATCGCTAAATAATGACAAATTTAACGATGGATCTCCAAGATATTTTAATGATTAAGATTTAGCGAAGGATATTACGTCGTTAGTTAGCGACAAAAATAACCAACTAGTAACAAATAATAGACCAGGAGTATGATTGTTTGCTTTAGCGACAAAAATTCTATGAATTTGTGATGGTTTATCAATTGTTGATCGGTGATGGAAAAAAAATCATCGATAAGAAAATAACGACGATCACATTTGCTACTAAAAATATATTATCATAAATCCATCGTTAAATCTAAATAGCTATGGATATTGACGATATAGCAACGGAAAAATCCATCGCTATTTTTGAGTTCTCTTATAGTGTACCTATCTCTTGCGTAGTAGCCACTTGAGTATAAATTGTTAAATTTTTTTTCAAAGGTATTACTCAATAAAAAGGGTGGAGATGACTCATGACATTAACAAGAATGATACTCAAACAGTAAGGAAAAATACTTAATTGGCTGAAATTAATTTTCAAAAAATTGCATTTAATTGATCGAATTCAGAAATACACGTAATCATTTGAACAAATTGATAATAGAGTTCTATGATGAATTGGTGAAAATAAAGGATACAAATAACTGGTTTTGGTCTTAAAAAAAAAAAAAAAAAAAAAAAAGGAATAGCAGTAAAACTGGTTGCAACGTGATCGGCCAAAAGGCAGTTTGGCATAGTTTAATCATGACTATGATAATGAGATATTATCTTGCGTTTCCTCAGCAAAATTGGTTCAAATAACAAATGACAATAGATAAAAATAAGATCCGTCACATCTAACGAAGTTACCACATAGGGGATAGGATGTTAGCTCAGGGTAAAGGTATTGTCAAAATACCAAATCAATGCCCGCATCCAAAACAAATCAATTATTGTCATTCCATTCAATATAGCAGCAGAATAATTTGGAATAAATAGGTCCACTTCCTTGCAACTATGAATCCATTAAATTGAGAACATTTATAAGGCAAATAGTTAACAGGCGAGACTACTTTTCAATTAAGGATATTCATTAACATACAAAGCCATTGGTACAATAATAAGGTCCAGTTTCTTGTATGACGATACTACACGTTTGTACAATCACAGAATACTTAAAAATCATAAGGGTCGGTGAGTGCTGCTTCTAAACAATGACTAATTGGATGATATAAATCCTGTCAATCTTCGTCTGACTCTGCATTCAGCAATTTGTCCATCAGAATAAAAGTGAGACATAATACAAGGGAAACAAGGACAATTCGCTTATGAAGGGTTTTCAGACTAAAACAACTTGGAGAGTCAAGACAAAAATGAAGGGCAAGATCATCCATACAGTATGTATATCATATCTTGCAGAATACTATGACAGGGACTACACTTTTGCATCAAAAGCATACCATTTATGGCTTCCATGTTATCTTCCTTGTAGACACCAAGAGGTGAACCTCGGACAGAGAGAAGCATTTCACCAGGTTTAGGCAGCCTTAGAGATTTTGGTGTCATCCCAATGGACAGCCTCTGACTGCTAACCTGCATCAACAATGAGAGGCATGTCAGTGACTTTGGACATTAGGGTGCTTAAAATTTAAGAAAGCAAATTGAATTGCCATCCAAATGCAACATCAGACAACACAGAATGAGAGAATGAAGCTCCTTAAGCTTCAATATGATAATCATCAGAACCTTCCAAAAAGAGCTCATGAGACAGGCCCTAGATCAGTCGATTTGAAGCAATAGAGCTGCCTAGCAGCCCACTAGAAATATTATCCGGTGGAAAATGCTTTTGTGAAAACTTTTGTGCAACAGAAGCATGCTATCCTAATGATTCCAAATCTTCCACCCAAATAGGGTTACTGGCTATATGTCATGAAATACTTAATTGCTAATGGCAATTTGATTTGCCAAACGATTATCTAAACTTCTAACCACTAATGAATAATTATGCACTGCTCTTGACTGTTCTAAGAGTTTTCTGCACACAATGCAATAAAAACACTCACTTGCAACTTGCAATACACTACTGCAATAGAAGCTACTGTAATTTATGAAACCTAAAAAGGATAGTCATGTCTTCCACTTGATCATATATGTTTGCTTGCAGAACTTAATAAAGGAAAAACAGGAGGACAAAAATAAGGTAAAGATCATGGAGACAGTACTAACCCCAGGAGTTCGGAGACCATCATGCATCCCAAGCATCTGAGAATCCGATTGAGCCTCCAAAACCTATGAAAAAGAAATGTCAATTAATCTATAATAAAGAATGGAAGCTTGCTTTAATCTTTAATACCAGGTTGTGTTTGGATGGCCTACAAATGCATGCTTTTACAAGCTTAATGCATTAAGAGACACACGTAGCTAAATCTGAAAAAACAGACTTCTTTTGTGCTGCCGGATTTTTAAAGGAAAAATAAGTCATGTACTAATAAGGTTCAAACCTTCAAACCTCAGGCTTTTCATCTTCAAACAACAGACATCAACGAGTAAACTTGTTGTAATGATCAGAAAACCTTCCAACCAAAACAAATGAAACACATATAACAAGGAAAGACAACTCTACACACCCTTCATATTGTGCAATACTAAGGTATCAAATGGTTCTTGAAAAAATTATGTCTCCATTCAACTTGGATAAAATAAAAAAAATTTATAAAAACATACAAAGTCCGTCATCTTCAAATTATCAGAAGCGCCAAAGATGCTTGTTTTCACTGCCACCAATAAAACAACCCATGTCAGATACACAGCTAACTTCAATAAAAACAAAATCCCACCTCCATTCTCCTTTCTTTTCTTTTCTTTTTTTTCCCTTTTTTTTTACCTGCATCGCTTGATAATCCAAAACAACCAACAGATAAGTTTCCAGAACAACTAGGATAGGCCAAGGACAAACGACGAAACAGAGAAGCATTTATATTTCCCCCGTCGGATAAATCATCAACAATGTCATTCCACTTTACAAAAAACTCTCCATTTTCCTCATTTCTTTCGATAGACAAGTTGGGCAGGTTTTCTTTAAAAAACCGCAAACAAGGTGTTTTGAGCTGTTCCTTGCTAAAATACGAGCGCAGCAACCGCAATTCTGTTAGCAAATGCTCGATTCCCACATCACGCATTGCCCTAATTGCAGCAATTTGACGCTCCACTACACCAAACAAATTCAAAACCATATTTAACCCAAATCACACTTTTTTTTTCATAATTCAGATACGACTAATTGCTGAACAAATAGCTATTAAGCCAAAATCAACACAAAAAGAAAGGAAAAAAAAAAAAAAACGGGGTTCATAATCCTCAACGAAACCCCAATTCCCTTTCCCTCTATTCACTACTAATTACTCAACAAGATAAAAAATTGAAAAAAAAATGAAAAAAAGAAGCAACCCATGAAGCAAAAGCTAGACAAAAAAAAGTACCTTCTTGGTCGATTGATGGGCATTGTTTGGGTTCTTCAATTTGGGGCTGATTCTCCTGTTTACTTGGGGCAGATTCTTTTACCGTCTTTTTAACTCTCCGTCTAGCCATTTTGTGAGAAACAGAAGTTAAAGCAGAAGCATAACAAAGTGAAATTAAGCAATCAATTTGAGAAAGGAAACCCTAGTTCAAATGAAAATGTGAAGGAACAAAACTATGAAGGATCTGTTGAATTTTGGAGCGGCAACTTGTTGAATGGTTTCTGAAATTCAAATTTTGTTTTGTTAGAAGAGGAGAGAGCAAAAGGCCTAATAAAAAGGCACAAGATCATGAGAGAAATACGAGCGGCCCATGAATTCAAAAGGACTACAATCCCAAGCCCATTCTCACAAAAATTTTGTTTGACCCAAACTAAACGTGTTTTAAATAAATGGAATTTAATCATATGGTAATTTACACAGAAGTCTTTATCAATTTAATGTTAGTTTTGATTTTCAAATAAATAAAACTTTGACTCTCCGACCACAAGTCACCATCCTTTAACAACCATAAAACTGTAAGTGCAATTCAAGTGAATGGATTCTAGTACTGAAATCTATATTGAAGAAAAACACTCATCTTTTGATCAAAAAAAAAAAAAAAAAAAAAAAGCACAATCTGTGACTTAGTGGTCTAGAATTTGATGATCTTGGTTGCTGATTCCAAGTAATTAGGATGAACAAGAAGGAGACATGTCCAAAAGAAAAACTATTTAATATGGGTCTTTGTTGGTTCATATAAATTAATTTTTCTTTAAACTAGTAACCATGGATGAGACTGTGATCGATCACAGTAAGCCACTAAGACATATCATTTAAATTATTACTAGCTAATTAATAAGCATAATGGTCAAGCTATTAATTACTCTGTGTGAGCTTTGATAAACCAAGATAGTGATCATAAATTATGGCATCTATTCTCATGTGTGCGTACAGAGCAATAATGTAACATATTTGATTTATCACGCTTCTTGTACATTCATTTGTAGTTGATGAAAGTTTCCTTCGCTAGGTACAAATCATTACCAGAACGTTAAATTATATTATTATTCACGAGTAACTATGAAAAATGCTAGCCACATATTCCATTATATGTTTACTTCCACAAAATTAATCTCCAGGCACTAAGGCTTCTCCACTACACCTTCAAGCTTCGACTATTATGAACATGGTTTTTTTTTTTTTTTTGTTCAGCAATCTAGCCTTGTTAAATGTTCTAACAACTGAACATAGTTATTGAAGATATGATGGAAAGATGGCTCGAGCAATGTCATTCATACGTCCAAGTACAAGTACTATGTTTCAGCTATTGTTTATTCAAATGACAAACTAATTTGAAATGTCATGCCAGGCACATAAATCAGATCAGAAAAATTATCGCATCAGATGCCAAATAACTTTCAGCTATCATTTCCGCTGCCCACATTGTGATTTATGGCTCCACTATTTTACATGGATCTGTTGAGTGGCCATGGTGATCCCGCCATCACTGCTTCAATTTCCGAAATCTGACGTGGACATTTAGTCATGTTCCGGCAGCCACCAGCAGTGACATGCTACAAACATCAAGAAGAAAAGAAAAAGCATTACAAGAAATACCAAATTCCACTTCAAAAATATGCAAGAAATTAGCTCATATACACAGGAAACTGGTGTTTTGTAATCTCAGTAGCATAGCAACCTTTTTTTATTTTTTATTTTTTGAGAATAGCAGCATAGCAACTTCCTAAAATATGTGCAAAAAATGAAACAGACATTTATTAAAAAAAAATTAATTGGAGCATAAAGCAAAATTATAATCAAAATATGGAATCAACAAATGCAAACAATCATCTCCATTCTGAGTGTCAGGAAATAAAGTACCACATCACTTTCAATTCGAACCCCGCCAAAACCTTTAAATCTGCTAATTGCTTCACGATCAAAAAACTTAGCAGTAGTTGAACTCTCCATGGCTGGAGTCAACAAAGCATCAATGAAGTAGCAGCCAGGCTCCACTGTTATCACCTACAAGAAGAGCCCCATGCTTAGAATATTTGATTGATTTTTTATGCAGCCTTTAATTTCTAACTGTAGATGTTCACACAATAGGTCAACACATCATCTTGTCATGGATCATAATATCAGCAGTGTACATGCATGGTTCTCCTTAGAACAAGGCCATTACAAACCATTCCCTCTTGGAGCTCTCGAATAGTACGCAAAGCTTTCAATCCAGGTTCTTCCAATTTCTTCAGTCCCTGTATTCATTTTCGTCCAGTTCCAATGCTTAGAGAAAATGAAGCAGAAGAGGAAGGAGATTGGAAGCAGAGCTTTGGCAGATAAAAATGAGCAACAAGTACCTTTAAGTAGCCACCAGGATCATGAGTGTCAATCCCCAAGAAATGCCCCAGACCATGAGGCATGAAGACAGCACCCAATCGCTCAATCATCATATCATCTACATTGCTAAAACCAAGAAATCAAACTGGCAATTAAATTAACCTTTCCCCTGATTATGATTTATAGTTGGAAGTGAAAGACAGGTCACTCGAGAATTAAAAGTTTACCCAACAATAATGCACCCATTTTTCAGCGACTCAAGAATTACCTTCTCTGCTAATCTGCAAAGAACAATAGAAATAGTAATATACATGCAGTAGCATGACCTTGAAAGTTCCACACGGCAGGCAAAGTGGTTGCTGGAATTTCATGACTAAGACGACATTAATTTTTTAATAGGAAAATGCAATGATGAAAAGCATCCAAGGATGTATGTTTACTGAGCTGCAAAACCTCCCGGTCAAATTTGTAAATACCATATTGGATTGGTATAATGGAACAGCTATCCATCTAGGGAAAATAATCTTCTATTTTTAAGGTATACCTGCTGTTTTTCCAGTATATAATGTCATACAACCATCAAAATAAGCTCTCAGTTCCTCCTTTATCAAAATCAAAATGAGCTCAACTCTTCCTTTACCCTAGGTCTCAACTAAAGCCCTCTTCCAACAATTTGGTGTCAAAATAAAAGAACCAAATATTGTAAAACCATATCAATGGGTCTCTTTGACGTAGTGATCGACTGCACCCACCCAGCAATTATTCTCTAAAGCATCTATTACAAAGGTAAAGCTAGCTAACTAATTTTGTTTAAACTTGTTTATGACAGCATAAAAGCAGTATTTTCTGGGGGAAAAAAAAGTAGTTTGTAATAATTAATGAAAGTTAACACTCATCTAATCTTACTTATGCATATCGACAAAGCTGACTCCTGGTTTCATTGCAAATATGACAGCATTATGAGCATCAAGGACAGCCTGCGAAATGTGCCGTTCAGAAAAAAATTCTAAAACAATTGACTTGCTAAGAGACTTTAAATCTCAAAAGACACATGCTGGTTAAACAAATGAACTTGAAGCAGGCTTACATTGTATACAAGGGATTGATCACTTGTAAACTTGCCATTCACCTGAATATAGGGAAAAATGGCACTTTTAGAACAAAACATCGAATTGAGGAAGCAAATAACAGAATTCTCCAGTGGCCTACTATCAACTACCCTCTTGAATACCTTTTAAAATCCACAGCCACAATTTCCATCAGATCAAACATTTTAATTATTACATGTAATTTCTAATGCCTAGAAACTTGTGTGTCATTTCATTTGTTTGCTTACATGAAATAATCTGTGACAGTACTTAATAGTATTAATTAAAATACGTTCAGTGGTAGCAGTGCAGTGATGGTCGTGCTAGTGAAGAAGAAAATGATACTGATAATGTAGGTCACTATCTCTATATAGATGATCTAATCATTCAAAGGCAAACTGAATATATCTCCTCAATCAGAGTTGTCTATGACAGGCACAATCATTAACAGTTAGGAGTGACTAAGCCTAGTCTCTATCTAAAATTCAGAATGTAGAGTTCAACAGAAATCAGCTTGGTTATCCTTATTGCTCTTCACCATAATCGTTGACACAGAGAGCTCTCCATTCAATGGTAAGATCAGCCTACTGATAACTGGATGTATCATAACAAAGCATGTTAGTTCTGTATTTGACACGAGTAAAACAGCTTATCCTCACTTAAGATGCCTGAATTAGCTTCTTCCAAAAGGAGAACAAAATAAACTTGGAGGAGATAATTTCAAAAATCAAGAGCTATTGCAAATAGAAAATTGTATACTTACAGGGAATGAACAAGTTATGTCAGACCCATAGAAATGGTATTCTGCTCCCATATCAAACAATGCCATATCCCCATCTTGCAAGGACTGCATAAAACTCATTATGAACATTTTTTAGACAAAAAGATAATTCTTCCAATTTGAGAAATTTATAAACAAAACATAACCTGAGACCTACTAGGAACTGACTTTACCTTAGCAGTTGTAAAATTCTCATGCAAGGAATATGATCATAGCAAAAGTGGAATTTCATACAGGCTAAGGACAACATGATCACCAGCAATTTGCCAAAATCACAATTCTAACCTAAATCCATTCTACAATTGTAAAGCCTAAATAATCTACCACCAACAGCAGAAAATGAAGATTGACTCTCCCACAAGATAATAGACACGCTATGAAGTAGAAATACCACTACAAATGGGTTCTGACAATCACAAAACCCATGGCCTATGCTTTGCACGCATAGTGAACATTTATGGGTAAAATAATAGGGAAATTGGTGTGCAAACAGCAAATTTGCAAAATCAACACCTCTTAGATCTACATCCATAAAACATCTAAGCAAGTGCATGCATACCCACACATACATTCCCTTCTGTCACGACCATTTTTTCCAAAGTAAAAGAAAATAGAATCCACTGTTTATAGGCATAATTAATGTTCAGGAAACCTATCAATATACCCCTACATATTGTATGTTTTCTCAATTGTATCCTTGTATACAGATAAAAAAAATAAAAAAAAATTCAATCAGTCATAACCTTTTCATCCATAATTTGACTAAATTGTAATAAAACTCAGGTTTAAAGTCCTAGAATTGTAATCAGACTAAATTTCTGTGTGTGTGTGTGTGTGTGTGTGTAGGTCAATAAACATAGCACAAGGTCACTTTTCTTTCTACATATTCCTATCCTTCACTTTTTAGTGTTGTGTGGAAGTATAGGCCTGTAATTATCATGTAGAACTGTAGAAGCAAATTCCTCACTTCTAGGTAGCAACTTCTTATAAGAAAGAAGAAAACGTGCATGATCACATGTTTCTTTGGTTGATAATAATTCACTTAGCCTTCCACTTAAAATTTTTTTTTCTTGCTTTATAATTGATGTAGTTTAGGTGTGATTATCATGTAGAAGGCACTCTCTAATGTATCTAGTTTGACAGCACGATTAGAAGGAAAGAAAAAAGATGATATTTTACTATTGTATTCTTTTCTTTCCTCTTCTATTCTTTTTTAATATATGTACAATTTTAATTTCTTGTCTCCATCAATAGATAGAAATTCCTTGATTTCTTTTTCAATTTTTCCTCTCTCAATTCTGTTTTCTTTTTCTCAACATTATTTCATTTTGCAGTATTGGCTCCTCACACAATCATTATTGTTCAATTTGTTACTCTCCTCTCTCATCTGAAGATCCCTTCAATGTTCTTCTACATGGAAAACACTCAAAATAAAAGAAGATTAAAAAGAACAATTTCTTTTACCATATTTCTATAAAACTAAGAAGTTAAATCATGAATTTAATTGTTTTTCCTCATATTAGATCATCTTTCAAACTATTTAAATAATAATTTATAACAAAACATATTTAACTGTAATTATATGTTTAAATTAAAATTTAGTCGAACATAATATTAAACGGTTGAGTTCAATAAAGGTTCTTTTCATTATTCAAACTCAGCACACAATAAATGCTTCTTCTTTCTTTTCCTTTCTTTTTTCTTTTTTCCTTTTTTCTTTTCCTACAGGGTGCGTTTAACATTAATTTTTTACATTAAAGTTAAAATTTTTTTAAGCTATCAAGATTGTATGGTAGAGCCTCTACTAATAATGGCAAGACCAATGAAACTAATTTTAGTATAATTTGAGAATATTTACTATTTCTAAAAATATTAAAAATTCTTTGTGAACAAAACTGTACAACTATATATCATGATTTTAAGAAACCAATATATAATAAGAGTTCAAAAAAAAAAAAAAAAAGCAAAAATTGAAAGAAAAGCTTATAAGTGATGAAATGTTAAATTTACAATATAAAATTTATTTGGAATCTTCTATTTGAGTCAAATATGCCAAAGGATATTAAAAATTTGAATTATATAACAGATTTTATTGAATACTTTTAATAAAAGATCATTCTTTTACAAATAAAATAAAACTAACAAATGAAATTTGTTGATATTAAATATAAATTTTTAAACAAATTTTAGCATCTGATGCTAATGAACAAAATAATGGAAATAATTTTAGTAAATGTTAAGATAAGATTACTCTCTAAAATGTATAACTATTGTTACCAACAAATTTATAAGAATTTTATATCACATTTGAAAGCCATAATATTCATTGATATAGTAAAAAGTAATTTTTTTTTCTTTTTTGCCAATAAACAAAAATAAATATAACTTAAGAATTGCATTATTATTGTCATTAATTAGATTCGAAAATAAATAAATGTAATCTAAGACATTGCTAATAAGCCTCTTACATATTAGTAATTCAATAGTCTAATAGGAGAAAATGATGTGAATCACATACAAAGCACATATCATGACAATTAGTGTTAGAAAATAACATAGGAGAAGCTGCAAATGCCTTAGAGATAGACTCGAGTAAATAAACAAAAGACAAAACTTACCCTGTCATTGGGAGCTGCGGCATGCCCATAGTGAAGAACAGCACTGTATGATTAGATATTAAGGCTGTTAGCTCATGTTGGAAATATGTAAGCAAAGTTCTACTTCAATGCATCCATATAAACATAGATTTTCCAAAACAACTATATATACAAACGCATCATAAATCAGAACTTCACAAAAGAGAATGCAGTATTCCTTTTCCTTTTCAAATAGTTTGAATTAGAAATAATGACAATCTCAGCTTCCAATTGAATCTGCTACTGGTCACTAGCCAAAAATTCGAATTTATCAAGAGACAATTTCTTTCAAGTGCCCTTACAAACTCCAATAAATGATATCATTAGCAGGTTACTGTAGTCTTTGAGAGACAACGTAAACTGAAGCCTGATTCTCTGGCTTTTCATAACAATTGAGATGCGTAAGATAGTCTTGGCTCAGCACATTGTTATGTACTTCTGTTTGACTCAAATCTAAGCAATACCTTAAACCAATTATCATTTACCTACACAGCATAGGAATCATGCCATCTCATTTGTTTCATTGGTTCAAACTACCATGTCAATTTATTTTGATGAGGAAGAAACACAAAAGGAATAAGGCATGTCTTAATAAAATGGTCCTCTTCTTATTCAATTATGGGTACGTTTATATTGGCTCTTGAGAAGAAAGAGGGAGGAACTAATACCATTAACAATTCACTCATTAATTAGCTAATACAACCAAGCACCCTTGAAACATGAGTTTTACCCTATGAAAATTACCCTTGTATCAAATTCACCTTCATGTTTAACCTCAACACAAAAGCAACTTCTGTACACTATATATGTTTGTGTTTTCTGTTTTCAAGTATGTAAGTGAAATAACACAATTCCTGAACCAAGCTCCAACCAACAAAGTGAATTGATGAAGCTCGGGCACAAATAAATTTAGTCTTTTAAACCCCTTTACAGCCCTACCCATTGGCCATGAAAGCCACATGATCCGGACCTATAAATGTTCTAAATATTGCTTACCACTTTTTATTGACCAACACTAGATTGCTTTCAAAATGGGTTAATTTTCTATTTTTTAGCTTTTCAATTAACGGGCCTGGTATTTGAGTTTTGCAGTAAGTTTACACAAAAACTAATCCATGCAGAATTCCAATCATCAGGATCGTCACCTATTTTCTCCAGTAGCACAGATACATGTGTATGAACAATGCCTACACCCACCATACATGTAGGTGTGATGAAGAAATATGCTTTCCAACTGATACTCTTTCATGCCCGCTCTAGTGTTTCTCATAACCTAGTCAAATATGCAATTCTTTAGTATGACAGTAAACCATGATCTATAATTTGAAGGATCGATAAAAAATAAGTTAAATACATCCTGTGTCCTTGTACCATTCAAAAAACAATGTTGCAACTCATCTACCAAAATATAGTTCATAACAAACCTTGTACTATTGGATGTTAGTACAAAACAACCTTCCTGTTATCTCTTTCCATCAGATTGACCAATTTCTCTTAGTTGAATAACGTCTGACCAATCAAGTAGTGACACGTGTCAATTTAAGGGTAAAATGTAATTTTCTTTTGAAATCAGTTTTTTTCAATTTTTTTACAAGTTAAAGTAATTAATAATTATTATAAAATCATTAAAAATTGAAAAAAAAAAATTAAAGTCCCATAGCTCAAGGTTTATGCAGGCCAACAAGTCAACCAAATTGAAATAATGCAAGCTTGATGCTTGTCAAGAGCAATGGCTCTCTCAACGTATCATGATGATCTCAAATGTAATTTATTTTTGAATTAATTGTAGTTTTTAGTTACCATGGTGAGGTTTTAATTTATTGATGCAATGGATGGTGGATTTCTATTTTGTTTTTATTAGGTGCAGTGAAGAATAAGGGATGTAAGGAGGAATTGATGGGCCACATGGGTCGCCACAACAAGTTCATGAAGAGGGAAGGAAGAATCTGTAAGAGAATTTGCAGATGAGGCAGGCAAGGAGGATGAGTAGGGGAGGATGAGAATGAAAATGGGTCAATCCATCATGATTTTGATTCTGATTTCCCTTCAAACAGTCCTACTGGAAGCAGTGTCCTTGGTGGCAACAATACAGGAGCCAATTTTACTGCTTCCATTAGTGATAGTTGTACTAGTGGAGGTAGAGTTGGTTGTTGCCCTAGCAGCATAATGGAAGAGGATGAAGAAGATGATAATTGCTTGGATGACTGGTGGGCTATGGCTGATGCTTTAGCTGCCAATGATGATGATAATAAGCTAGAAAACAATAACAATGATAACAATCCATGTTTGGAATTGAAGTCTTCGCCAGAGCATGAACCTATTGTTCAATTCGATTGTAATTCATGTAATACAGGTTCTTATCATGAGAATTTGATGCAGGGGAGAAGGGTGCCACTGTGAGTGACTCCTAGGAATAGTCGGGCATGGAGGCCAGATGATGTATACAACCATTAGCAAACCATGATAAGGACTTTAGATTTTTATTTTTTTTTCATTTTTAAATGATTTTATAATAATTACTAATTATTTTAATTTTTTTTTAAAAAAAAAACAACTGATTTCAAAAGAAATTACATTTTTACCCGTAAATTGACACATGTCGTCACTTGATTGGTCAGACGTGTGTCAACTAACAAAAATCGATCAATTTAACAGAAATAGATAACAGAGAGGCTGTTTTGTACCAACATCCAATAGTGTAAGGTTTGCTATGAACTATATCAAGGTAAAGAGGTTACAACAATATTTTTTAAGTAGTACAGGGGCACAAGGTGTATTTACCCAATAAAAAATAAACAAACAAATGACATCCATGATAAACTAATCAAAACTCAAAATGATGTCATTCACATGTAACTCAACATGTAGATGCATGAAAATGATTTTGGTGCATGGAAGTCTTCATTCATAAATCAACGATCCTAATTGCGAAATAAGCAACAGATGATAAAGCAATTTCCGACAATGGCAAGCAGCAATGTGTACAAAATTGTTATCTATTTATTTATGCGTGAAGAATCATACCTAAATGATAACTATAATTAAATTTCTTGTGAGAAAATCCAGTCAGTGAGAAGTTTTCACAAATAGCTACCTCAACATGAGCTTCAGAGCTTATGTCATTGGCAAACTCAATAAGAGCAAGCTCCATATCTGACTTTAAAACACGGCATTCAGTCAAAATGGGATGCAATGTAGTCAAATCCTTCTCAAACTTTTCTATCCCCTGAAAAGAGAATTAAGCAAAAAGTAAAGAATATTGATATTTATTTGATGATTATAGATGTCGTAGCTCTATGTGAGGTAAACATGTGAAATGGGAAGGACCGAAATGTAAGAACCTCAAACTCTGCTGGTTTTGAGAAGTTATTACTGTCAGTGTTAAGTCCATGCAAGAGAAACAGTAAAGGTTTTTTCAATCCATTGCTGAGCTCATGTAAAACTCCTACAATCTCATCTGTGTAATAGACCATGCTAACCATGTATTGTTGCTGCAAGCAAAAAATGCAAACATGAGTTGATAACCATACATCACACCTTGAAGTGCATCAAACCAAGAAGCATTGAAGGCAGGATACCTGAAAGTAAGATGGCTGCTTTATTTCTCCTAACCAAACTGCATAATCAGCCGGTAATCTAGGAGCAAATAGAATAGATTTCCCTGTTGCAATGTCCTTGAGGACAACACAAATGACAATCAAAAAACCACAAAGAAAAAGCTGTGGAAATTATAATTGGTGGAAGCGACAAAAACAACAAAATGCGTTCAGTTTTAGAATGAGAAATGAAGGCTCCAACTACTATGTCCATGCAAATTAACATGAAATTGTTAATTGTTTAAATAAACGGTGTAAGCTAACAAACATGCCAGCAGTTGCACAGATGAAATCAGAAATGAAAATGTGCAAAAAACGATCCACTGGTCCACTGTAGGCTGGAAGCATGTATCCTTAATAGTAAAATACAAATGATCTAAGAAATTAAACAATAGCATAATGTGTTTTAAGTAAAGTTTATAAAATAATTGGAATAAACAGCAACCCATTTTCATTGAAAGAAGAAAAGTAAAAGCGAAAAGCTTACAATAGCGGCGTAGAAACCAGGCTCTTTTACTCCAAACAGATAAGCGAAATAACTCTCCTGCCTATACATCAAAATATATATTTTGTTTTTAGTAAAATTGAAAAGCAGAGTTAATCGGAGCCATTACAACTTACAAGTGCAAACCAAGTACCTGAAGAGTTCGATGTGATCAGTGCAGTAGCGAGTTTTTTCCTCGCCTCCCTTTTAAATTCACTCATAAAATCAAAAACAATAACAATAATTGAGATCATCAGTCAATTAATCAATCGTAAATAGGTCGATACCTGAAGAAAGACAAATCCGTACAGAGGACGAGAAGTTTCGGTGAGATTTTGACGAAGGGATTTTAGCAGCTTTTCACGGTTGCTGACGTGAAGCTCCATCGGTACTTTTGGGGGAGAAAGACACGACGAGGGAGCCATTTGCGAAATGGCTTTCTTTTTTTCCGTTTCCCCTCTTTATCTTGGTTTATTTGTGCAGTCTACTCTCATCTAATGCCAATTTTCGCTCTTTAGCTTTTCTGGATTGGACTCTCATATCTTGAGATATAGTCAAATAGGTCCTTTTAACTGCTGTGATGGAGTTGGAAAATATGAAATTATGAGTCAATTGGTTATAAAACTCCGATTTTTTTTTTTTTTATATAGGTATCTAACTTCTAATTTTATTTTATTTGGGTCTTAAATTTGCTTTTTTATTGCTGTTGAGTCCACCTTTTTTATTCATCAATGTTCGAGTGAAATGACCAATGAGTTAACGATGTGTGTCATTTTAATGCCATATATGCAGGTGACTGATTAAGTTAAAGAATTAAAATGACAGATTAACCTCATCCTTAGATTAAAAGAAAAAAACGAAATCCCTAAAATCATTCTTTTTAATCAACAAGCAACATCCTTAAATTAATAAAAAGAAATCAAAATATCCTTAAATTAAAAGGAATCTCTAAAATCATTTTTCTTAATCAACAAAACAACAAAAAGATGATTGATTAATTGGTAATAAAAAGAGGATGAGAAGTATGTTAAAGATTTCCTTAATAAAGAAGATCTTGAAGAATTTATTATTATTATTATTAAAAGAACATGTATGGTACCTTGAAAGATTTTATTAATATCCAAAAAAAGTTATAAGTGGAGACAATCTAGTCTTACCTTCACAAAGAGGGGACAAGAATGCCTAAAACCCTAAAAAATACTCGGGAATTATTTCTTAAAATTATGCATATCAAGCCTATCCTATGTTACAACAGACTTTAACCTCTCTACAAAGTCAACTTATAACATTACTCTTGTGATTGTGCTCTCATGCTAGCTAATTTACTTGCAGTTACATTATGTTCCCTTAAAACATGCGATAGAACATGAGAAACATATAAAAACTTACACTCGTCAAATCAAGTATATGCATTTCTATGCACTACTCATCTCTTCTTTAATGGCCTTAACCGTAATTTGAGAATCGGACTCCACGAACACATATGATAAAGATAAAGTCATGACACAATTACAAACAATCTCAAAAAGGGCACATAATTCTACTTCCATGTTTGAACCAAGCATAATAAAAGTTAGAAAAACGAGCAATAATCCTCTCATCACAACTTCTAACATTGCCTCCACTTGTACACACCCCATCCGCTAAGGAGCCATCCGTGTGAAGTTTTATCTAACCCTCTGAGAAAGCATCTAACGTAATTATTTACCCTTTCTTAGAGGAACATAAATCATAGGAATCTTAAGCCTAGCAATAACGGTATCATTACTAAAAGAAGACTTACTCTTTGGCTTGAAAATAGTGGAAGCATCAATCAAATGTCTTCTCACTCGATAAATAATAGAACCGACCAATATAGTAAACTTTTCAAACCTACGACTACATTGACTTTTTCAAATCTTCTAAAGGCTAAAGAATAAATGTCTACCCAAATCATCCCCTCGAGACCTTGTAGGACTAAGCCAAACATCAAACAAATCCTCGATGGAAGCGTATCGATTCCTTTTACCAAGAAAATCACCAAAATGAACCTAAACTACTTTAGTAATATTCAAAATCTACAAACAAATGATGAATAATCTCCTTATGACCTAACCTACGATAATGATATTTAGAAACAATTTCAATCCTCTTACTCCGAACATGACAATCAGCGAGAACAACCTTATTGATTAACTTCCACATAAAAGCACCTATTCTTCTCAAAACCTAATAAGCCCACACTTTTTGTGCCCTCTCACTTTTGGCAACCTTAAAGTAAATGCTAGTTTATCCTTCATACTATCACCTAAATTATCTCCCTCACGATCGAATGTTTATCAAGAGGAATAAAGTCCATAAAACTTTCCTTATCTAGGAAAGCTTCCTTGATCATGAGTTTATGGTCCAAAGGAAGTTGAGAAGGAAGTAAGGTACCATACTAATTAGAAGTCCTAAAACTTATATCATGTTTCCTAATAACCTACACACTACAATATCTAACGACTTTCAACAACTTAATAATAAATCAATAAGTGTGAGAGGTTTTTGATCTAATGGGCAAGTTACCAATTAAATCTGCTAATTATACTTCGTAGTGAGCATTTTCACCCAAAGGCCTCTACCCCGAATGTAAGACCACACTAATTTAGCTTGAAGGGATTCCATAACCTTCTCTAATCGCCTAAAATCCAAGCCCTCTTCTTTAACCGACCTACACTCATTATCGCAACCTATCTAATGAGTTATAGGATCACCATATACGATCCATAAAAAATCTATTATAATCTTTTATATATGATTAATGGAACTCTTTGAAATAGGAATAATCGATAATGTATACACTAGAATATCGCTTCAAAACAAATTTAATTAAGGTGACTTTAGCTCCGGATAATAATAATTTGGCTTTCCATCCACTAACTTTATTGGCTAATTTTTTTCGCCAAATCATGAAAATAATGAAACCAAATCCTACATGTATTAAGAGGGATACCTAGATATTTTATAAGGAACTAAAACAAAGAATAACTTGTCCACTCTTTAATCTTCCCTACTATATCTCTCTCTCTAGAAATGGCTTTGGGAGCATAGAAATCACTTTTTAAAGCATTAATAGATTGACCGAAGCCTCTTCATATATATTAACAAGATTTTTAAAATTGAGAGGAGTGCATTTATCCTTTTTTGTAAAAATCAAAATATCATTTGTATGGAATAAATAGGAAATAGAATAACCACCCCTACCCACATCATACGAGCACTGAGTTTCCCTAGACACCTCTCTCTAAATATTAATAGATAAGAGTCGTTAGTAGAGGTGCCTAAGATTTAATCTTGATTGGATGGTTTGACTTATTATAATATTGCATTCTTTATTTTATTAATAAAAAGAAGTCTTTCTATTAATTTTTGTTATTTATATTTATTGATAAAATTAGATAGAAGTCTATATGATATGCATTGCATTAATGATTGATCGAAAGATGTGACATAAACATTAATGCACTTAAATGATATCATTAAATATCCCAAGTTAGTAGCATTGTTAAGAATGAACATTGACTATATACGATAAGAATTATGAGTACTATACTCATGCTATAAGATAATAGTAGAAGATCTCACATTTATTGGCATGATGATGCCAAAGTAAGCATTTAGGTGATTAATGTTAGAGAACATATCACTAGACTTGACTCATTATAAGAAACCATTTGGTTTAGTCTATAGGAATCTCATACGAGATAGGTATAATTGATTTTTTGACTTAAAGTCAATATAGTTATCTCATTAGAGGATTTATATACTTTGATATTTATTTCGATAGGCTTAATCAAGAGTTGTACATAGGCAATTTGTAGGGTGCACTAAAAATCTAATAAAGATAGGTGGATGACTAAGATAGGATATGTCATTCTTTGTATGCTAAAGGAGTTATCACATTGTATTTCAATAAATGTCTGCTTAAGGAATTTATAGCCACAATAGGAGAAAACCAATAGAGCACGGTTGGTTTACTCTAGAGCTAAACATTTATGAATCAAAGAAAATTTGTATGATCATAATCGAATATACTATAAACCAAGTTCAAGATCACACTCGTGATAAATTGACATGAGGACTAAATTATATGGTAACCATGATCGTGAAAGATAATTACGGATTAATTAATCCTCATAGAGAATTAGATAGTCATGATACCTTACTAAAGGTCAATCTTGATTTATGTATTAAGAGATAAAAGAGGTGTCGTTTATTCTTGATAAATTGCCAATATATTTAGGAGTCTATTGAGTCACACACATAAGTTTAAGCATTTACATAATAAAAGAGAAGTAAAGATTTTGGAAAAGGTTTTCGAGTTTTGAAAGTTTAGAAAATGGAAAGTTTTCTATTTTGGAAAATGTTTCCTAAAATGAAAAGTTTTCAAATTTGGAAGTCAATTTCAAATTTAGAAGTAAGTTACCTACAAGGAAAATTAGTTTCCTAATTTAGGTTTAAGGGTAATTTTGAAAATTGGTTCCTAATGTGGGTCTCCTAAAAATATCTTACCCAATTTATTTAGATAGTCCAAATTAATTAGTAATTAATTGAATCAAAAGAGTCCGGGCCAATAGATTTAATTTAAAATCTTATAAGATATTTTGATGAAAGGATAAATTTAAGTCATATTGGATAAGAATCGGGCTTTATAAGGATAAGATCAAAAGGTCCACATGTATTACAACTCCTAATCCTTGAAGGACTAGGAAGTAACAACTTAGATTCCATATTGGACTAGTTGTCGCCACTTCTTTATCCTTATAGGACAAGGAAGCCACTCCTCTATAAATATAAGAGAGAGGTGTGATAAAGAGATGAGAAGAATTAGGGCATACACGATATAAGAAAATAAAGAGAGAAAATAGTTTTCTTTTTCTAAAAAATCATGCCAACTTTCTCCCTCTTTTAGGATTATCGCAAAATATCCCGAAAAGATTTCTAAAGAGAAAAATTAAACAAGTCGAGTAAAGGAAGGAGCTAGCACTCTATAACTTCGATTACTTCTTATGTGGGTGTTTGGATCTGTGTGGATTATCAATAGAGCTCGGATGCTTGGATAGTTTCTTTTCTACAAAGGCTAAATCTATGCTACAAAAGATAATTCTTTAATTGTGCTTTAATTCATATATGTATGATTAGTTGATTTAACGAGTTTGATTTTAGGAGCCTTAAATGGAGGAAATTTTTTTGTTTTATTTCGTACTTCAATAGGATGCTTGATCCTTCAATTAGTATCAAAGCCTCTCGTTAAATGTTTAATTATATGCTTTGTTAATTGTGATTAACCGTATGAATTATCAATTCCTAATTATAAATCGATGTTTTAGTATTTTATAATTGTTTAAAAACCGATTTTGGGCTTAGAATTAAGTGGGAGCGTGCAAGGCTAAAGTTGGATATT